ACCATGTCAACACACTCAGGAGGGATCTGATTGGCTGCTGCAGGTCGTGTGGTTATCCAGAGGCGAGCAGAGGGAAGCAGTTTCCCCCTGATGAGGTTTGTCAGCAGCACATCCACTGAGGTGGACTCTGTAACATCATGAAAGCTTTTTGTTTCACCTACAAGGTCTAGTTGAACGTGGCTCTCATCCAGTCCGTCAAACACAAACAGAAGTTTGAATTCACTTTGGTCAAAGCTGGAGTTTCTTGGGTTCTGTAAAGTTGTGAAGAGGTCATTAAGAGTCTCCTCTTCAATGAAGTTGGTTTCTGGGATACATGTGTGAATTAGCTCTGCCAAACAAAAGCTTTCTCTGCTCCACAGATTCAGCTGCCGCATGGAGAAGGGGAATATGAGATGCAAATCTTGATTGGCTCTTTTTTCAGCCCAGTCCAACAAAAACTTCTGCACAAGGACTGATTTGCCCATTCCTGCAATCCCATTGGTCAGAACTGTTCTTATATGTGTGCTTCTTGCGTGTTTGAAGATGTCGCTGGGGTTAATTGGACTTTCTGTTTCTGTTTGTTTTCCTGAAGCCATCTCGAGCTTGGTGTGTATGTGTGTGATGAGCAGCTCAGGGTTCATATCATGTGAAAGCTCCTCGTGTTGCTTCTCTATCCACCCTCCCTGTGCACACTTGAACATGTTCTGGAGGTCCGACTGCAATGTGAGCGGGTCTGATGTGTTGGGTTGTGGAAGCGGTAGGACCGGCACCATTACATCTGTGAACAACGAAAGAGTCCGTTATCAGCATCTTTTTGAGCTGTCAGCACTAAACTTTTTCTTGTTTTTTGATTGATAGATTTGATTTTTATATTTATGGATTTACAAAACTCCTGTAGATTTGCAAGATTCCCTTGAAAACGAAGGTGGTGCACTGTAGATTGTTTCATGTAAGGAACTCCACAAGGAACCATCCATTCAAAGCAGACAACAATTTTACCTTCAGTCAGCCAGCTGACAGCTGGGAGGTCAGAGAGAAGTACAGATGAAGCTGTTGTGTCCTCTGAAGTCTCTCCAACATCCTCGACTTCCACTGACAGAAAAACAAACAGCTCACATTATACTTATACTTAGACTCAGTTTGGCTATTTTCATTATTAATTGATTTACTATTTTGTCAGAAAATAGTAATAAATGTCCACATATGGTGGTAGAGTGGATCGACAAACAAACACAGGACTTTAATCCAATTGAGTGCTGCTGGTGTCCCGTGTGAGGTCAACTAAAATGCAGCCATTTCATGTTACTTTATGCCTCAGTGGTACAGGAAGTAAAAATTGGCATATTGTTACCTATGGACAAATGACTGAGTGGAGTTGGGACATTTCCTGTTGCATCCTGGGATATTTGCTGCCCTCTGTTCTGGACTCCCTCGTCTTTACTGTGTATTATATCTTCCTCTTCCGTCTCTTTTCCTTCTGTAGCTCCTGTTGTCTCCTCCTCCTCTCTCCTGTCTGACCCGTCTGTAATAACTATATCAGTAGAGACAGAAATTCTCAATTCTCTGACAAATAAATCAACTAACTACACTGTAAAAACAATCTGTATGTTTAGAGAGTTTTTCCAATTTAATTTACAGATATTTTCTGTTAAATTCAAGTTTGTCTTATATAATTATAGAAGTTTTCACAACGAGAAACGTTGAATACAATGCTGTTTAATCGGTGATAGCGCATTGGTAAAGCTGTCAAGATACAGTTTTTTATCAAGTGTAAACAGCAATAATTACTGTAATTTTGCAGATAATTACTTTAAATACAGTTCTATAACTTTTAACATTCAGAACAATCAAATAATAGCAGCACTCTGCTGTAAATTTAAGCCTGATTATTTGTATTATAGCAGAGTTCATCTGTATTTATAGGTCTTTTAATTTGTTTTATAGTGTAAATATCTTTGATTAAAAAGCCAAAAAAATACACAAGAGTTTATCTACTATTTGAGTTAAAAACAGTATTTTAATAATTAAAAGTTACTGTATTTTTACGAGTCAGTTATTCTCTGTTATTTTACCATATTTTTTGGGCGATCCAGTTGCTGAAATATTAGTTTTATTTTACATTTTGTTTTTACAGTGTATATGACTGAAAATCCACAACACATAATACAGTGGCTGTTATGTTCTGGGTTCGTCTCCCCAAACTTACAAAGTTTCATGCTCACTGCCAAGAGACGTCCGTGTTAAAGATCTCCCCCAGACATGTACAAACAGTCCGATTGGAACAATTAAGGAGTTGCTGGTCCTCCACTGCCTGTCGTTTGTGTTGTTGTGTGACTTTGGTGATTAAACTTGTTAGTTTAGTTCCAAACTAACATTAGCTGCTGCAGATGGAGGCAGACGTGGACCAGAAACTTCTGAGTTCTGTGAAGTATAATGTCTCTTTAGAGAGCTGTCTGACAGAAAGCTAAAGGAATGAAGGGTTTGGATTTTGGATTCCAGCCTCTCTTATGTCTCAACACTAAATGAGCTTTATATCAAATATCTACTAGAATTATTGCGAATCCTAAAAACCCATAATGCATTGGCAGTTTTACGAACGACAGTGGAAAAAGGCTAACTACTCATAGTGACTAAGTAAACTTTCATTATATGACTGCACTTCATATGAAGCACAATCCCCACCTTAGTGGTACAGGAAGTAAAACATGACAACATATCGTTACCTGTGGACAAATGACCTAGTGGAGTTAGGACGTTTTCTGTTGCATCCTGCCCTCTGTTCTTGACTCCCACGTCTTTACTCTGTATTTTATCTTCCTCTCCTGTCTCCTTTCCTTCTGTAGCTCCTGTTCTCTCCACCTCCTCTCTACTGTCCGACCCGTCTGTAATAACGGTACCTTCGGGTCCTGGACTGCTGGGGTTTGACAAACTCTCCACCAGATCGTTCCTCCTCATCTTCTTTAAAACCTTCTTGGCCACCTCCACACACTGATGGTTGTAGGTCTGCACCATCAGATCCACGGTGTCCGGCCTGTCTGCGTTCTCCAGTCGGCTCCTCGGGATTGGCGGGAAGTCCTTCAGAAGGTCGGACAAATGACTGAGTGGAGTTGGGACGTTTCCTGTTGCATCCTGGGATATTTGCTGCCCTCTGTTCTGGACTCCCTCGTCTTTACTGTGTATTTTATCTTTGCCTTTTGTCTCCTTTCCTTCTGTAGCTCCTGTTATCTCCTCCTCCTCTCTCCTGTCCGACCTGTTTCTAATACCTGTATCAATAAAGACAGAAACTCTCAATTCCCTGACAAATAAATGTGTCTACATTAAGATGAGAGTCACATCAGAGATACCTTTATCATTATTACTATATCCACAACACATAATACAGTGGCTGTTTAGTTTTGGGTTTGTCTCCCCTAAACTTACAAAGTTTATAGTCATGCTCATTGCCAAGAGATGTCAGTGTTAAAGATCTCCTCCAGACATGTATTAAAAGAGTGGTTCCCAACCAGGAAGTCGGGACTAGGAGTCCCCAAAGTTTCATTGGGGGTCACAAGGCCTTCTTGATTGTAAGGGGTTTAAGAAAAACTTAAAAAATATACACAGTAGGCCGATATGTCAGCATTTGGTTCACTTCTGTGAAGAACAGTAAATGTAAATTATCCAATAGAACAATGACCAAGCATCAGGGACAAGAAAACACTGAATCTGTCAAAAAAGAAGTCTATTAAGTCTGTATGATTGTTAAAACTATAGACAAATACAAACGGTGTGATTGGAACAATAAAGGAGTTGCTGGTGCACCCCTGCCTCCATCAATCTGTGTGTTTTTGTTACTGCGTGACTTAGATATTTTATCTCATTAGCTCGGATGGAGGCAGCCGTAGACCAGAAACTTCTGAGATAAAATGACTGTTTTTGTCAATGGAGTCTGGTGGCGTTGAAGAGAGTGAGACAACTTCAGTTCCCTGTTATAAAGAGTTGCCTGACAGCAAGGTAAAGCTGTAAAAATACTAGTAATAGTAATAGTAATAGTAAACTGATATTGACTCTTTTAGGTTGCTAAAATATATGTTGTTGCTCCCCGTCCACAGCAGTGTCTCGCTCTGCTTCAGTGCTCGTACACCAGTCGGCTACTCCACACCGGGGCTGTGCCGACTGTATAAC